AAAACAAATAATAAACTGAAATAACAAGCTGTCTAAGATAACTACCAACTAACACTGACATAACTAACAAAGGTTACATGTGCTGTCATACGAACACAGTGGGRACCACAGYYGTGGGGYCCACATCAGTGTTCTCTACACTCCCCCTCAAGTTGGGAATAGATATTTGTCATTCCCAACTTGMATAGGTCTGCCTCTAACTTCTTCCTTAGAACAGCCTTGGTGAGAAGATCTACAAGCTGCATGTCGGAGGTGATATACGGGAGACACACTTCTTGCGATGAGACCCTTTCTCTGACAAAATGTCAATCAACTTCGATATGCTTAGTTTTGTCATGCTACACCGGATTGTGAGTTATATTAATAGCCGCCTAATTATCACAATACAACATCAAGGGCTTCTCATAATCAATACCCAACTCTTCAAGTAGTGATTTCAGCCATAGGATTTCAGCCACTCCATTAGCCATTGACCTGTATTCAGCTTCAGCACTAGAGCGGGAAACAACACTTTGTTTTTTACTCCTCCAGGAGACAAGGTTACCTCCTACAAGGGCACAATATCCAGAGGTAGACCTCCTGTCATCAGCACTCCCAACCCAATCAGCATCTGTATAGACCTCCACCTTCATGTGATTATTGTTCTTGAACAATATACCTCTACCTGGGCATCTCTTCAAGTATGTTAATATTCTCTCAGCTGCAAGAAGATGAGTAGTTCTAGGGGAATGCATGTACTGGCTAACAACACTGACTGCATAACTGATATCTGGCCGTGTGAGGCAGAGATATAGGAGCTTTCTAACCAACCGTTGGAACATAACTTTGTCTTCAAGAGGYTCTCCACCCTCTGCACTGATCTTGTGATTCTGTTCAATGGGTGTATCAGCAGGCTTGACACCTAACTTTCTAGTTTCCRCCAACAGATCTAGAACATATTTCCTCTGAGAGATAAAGATCCCTGTTTAGATCTAGCAACCTCAATACCCAAAAAATATCGCAGTGCACCAAGATCTTTCACTTCAAACTCTTGATGAAGGAGCTGTTTGAGGGACTCAATCTCACTATTATTATTCCCTGTCACTACAATATCATCCACATATACAGCAAGCAAGGTCAAAGAAGAGTTCACTCTTTTAACGAACAGTGTATGATCTGACTGGGCCTGTACATAGCCGAATTTTCCAAGGGCTAGTCTAAATCTATCAAACCAAGCTCTAGGGGACTGCTTTAATCCATACAATGCCTTATTCAATCGGCAAACCTTCTTACCTGTCTCTGTATCATAGAATCCAGGGGGCAACTGCATGTAAACCTCTTCCTGTAAGTCTCCATTCAGAAAGGCATTTTTAATATCCATTTGGAACAAGGACCAAGAGTAACTTGCTGCAAGGGCTAATAGAACTCGAATAGTGGTCATCTTGGCTACTGGGGCAAAAGTCTCCAAGTAGTCTATACCATAAGTCTGAGTAAACCCTTTTGCAACCAACCGAGCTTTGTACCTTTCAATGGAGTCATCAGCATTATGTTTCACAGTAAATACCCATCTACATCCAACTGGTTTCTTTCCTTCGGGTAGGTCAACTAGCTCCCAAGTATTATTTTTCAAAAGGGCATCCATTTCAACTTTCATTGCATCTTTCCACTCTGGAACTGATAAGGCTTCTTGCATTGTTCTGGGGATAGGGATATCAGCAATGGAAGTGATAAAGGACCTGTAAGAGGGAGATAGGCGATCATAGGATAGAAACTGGGAAATACAGTGAACTGTGGATGTGGTGCAACGCTGTTTCCCTTTACGGACCGCAATAGGGAGGTCAAGGTCATTAGAAGGAGGGGAAGTAGCAACAGTGGAAGGTATCTCAGTGGGCCTTGGGACTGTAGTTCCTGGATCTGGATCCGTAGAAGGAATTGGGGCTAGCCTGGACTACTGATGACCGAGATCAACTTGTCTGCATCGCCTGTGATAGACTTTCAACTCCTGACCCCTCTGACAACCCTCACCATTACAGCCTTCATCACTCAATGGAATGGAAGGAACAACCTCAGATGAGTTAATCCCACTCTCACTGCGCTCCCCCTGAGGAAAAAGACCCAAATTCTCACTACTCTCCCCCTGAGGAGAAACCCTAGGATAATAGGGTGCCTCCTCAAAGAAGGTGATATCCATCGAGACAAATCTCCTCCCTGAAATAGGATCATAGTAGCATAACCCTTTTGAGTTTGGGAATAACCGAGAAAAATGCATTTAGAGGCCTTAGGGTCAAATTTGGAATGATGAGGTCCAAGAAGCTGAACAAAATAGGTACAACCAAAGGTTTTAAGAGGAATAGTAAACAACTCGTCTGGGTATAGAAGGGTAAACGGAAGCTTCATATCAAGAACCCATGAAGGAACCCGATTAATGAGATACACTGCCGTGAGGATAGCATCACCCCAGAAACGGATAGGCACATTGGAGGTAAACATAATGCTTCTAGCCACCTCAAAAATGTGCCTATTCTTCCTCTCGGCAACCCCATTCTGTTGTGGTGTATGAGGACAAGTGCTCTGGTGTATAACTCCATGATCGAGTAGATAAGAAGCCAGTGGCTTGGAAAAGTATTCTTTTGCATTATCAGATCGGAGAACTTTGATTTTGATCCCAAACTAGGTTAAAATCATCTAATGAAAGTTTTGGGTCAGAGCGGAAACCTCATCTCGAGAACGCATAAGATAGACCCAAGAAAAACGGGTATAGTCATCAACAAACAACAAAAAATATCTGTACCCACCCATAGAAGGGATGTGATACGACCCCCAAACATCGGTATGCACAATATCAAAAGAATTACTACTTCTTTTATTACTCAAGGAATAAGATGTTCTACAATGTTTGGCAAGCTCACAACTCTCACATCTCAAATTTGACATCTCAACAGACTCAAATAAAGTAGGAAACAGACTCTTCAAAGACTGAAAAGATAAATGACCTAACCGATTATGCCAGAGCATAACCGGACTCACAGACTGAGAAACAAAAGACTTCTTATCCACAGGCTCTTTCCAATGAGAACTCTCTCCAAACAGATAGATCCCATTCGTCTCACGGCCAGTCCCAATCACCTTTCTCGTCTCCAAATCCTGAAAAACACATCGGTCAGGGAAAAAGGTTACTGAACAATTCTGATGTTTTGTAATACCACTAATTGAAAGCAAATTAGTATCAAGTTTAGGAACATGAAGACTGAGGATAAAGAGATAGTATTAGATAACTTGATGTCACCTTTGCCAGAAATGGGAACAAGAGAGCCATCAGCAATGGATACTTTATCTCTACCAGAAGATAAGTGATAAGTAGTGAACAGTGATGGCAAGCTAGTCATATGGTCAGATGCACCTGAGTCTATTACCCAACAATGTTCAGTGTTACCTGGAGCTGAAGCATGGTAAGTTGAGGCCCGAGTACCTGAATGAGCAAATG